ATACAAAGTTAGATATTTTGTAAAGCAAATCAAACGTGATTGTTAGTAGAGTTGACTGGAGGAACCTTTATCAATTTTAACTATACTTCAACCTGTTTGAAAAAAGAAGAAAATATTAGAGTGCTAAATTAACAAAAATGAAAAATAAAATACTGGGAAAAAAATATGAACATGTAAATATCTCAGAATCTAATTTATTTATTATTAAAAAATAATGAATGTGGATACTAATTGAAGTGTCTTCTACATCCATTGGTCCTTGTGAAGTCCTAGGAACAAAGCTGTGACTTTCCAAGCTCCCAATGAAATCCACTCTATCGGGTTCTGCACCACTTATTGGCAGTTGGGCAGTGGGAGTGGGAATTGTGTTTCCAAAGTTATGCAGTGGGCTAGATTTAGATGGCAAATAATTTGGCTTAGAAGCATGTTTATTCCTACATATCACAGAGAAGAGAAGTTCATCTTTCTGACTAGAGAGAAAAATCTTGTGTAATCAGATTAAAACGAATAGTGTATAAACACGTCATTTACCTGAATGATTGGCTTTGCTGCAACTGAGAAAGATAGGAGTGGTTGAAAAATTCTTCAAATGTCAACCGCTCCACTTTGTAGCATTGAAAAAAAAAATGTAAACAAACTCAAGTTTAGATAAAATAAATAGTATTGTTAAATAATGGAAACTAAACAGATTATTTGAATAAAAGCCTTTAGATTAGTCCATGATGTTGATCTATAACAATCAAAAGCGAAAATGTGGCGACATTGCCAGATAAATGCATCACAGCATATTCTCATTTCTAAAAGGATTATTCCCTAATAATGAATTTCCTATAAACAACATCGTTAAGAAGTTAATAGGTTGCAAAACAAATTTATTTGAACAAAAATGTTATATAGAAATTCTTGCCAATCCCATTGGGTAACTTAGGGTGCAAATAATGAAAGAAAAGAACACCGATTTGAGGTTATAAGCTCCAAAAAATGTAATGTTTTGTTTTTAAGATGTCTCTGGAGTGAAATGCAACAATAATGTAATCATATTTTCACTTAATTTACCGGTAGAAGAAAAAAATATGCATTCAACCATCAA